TTAACCCGTTAAAGTATGAACTACTTTCATTGAATGAACTACTTTCATTGAAGCAGATGGGGTACCTTATATAAGCATGAATTTCCCAAGCATTTAGGCCTACTATCATGAGTCTATTTTTATTTTTTATTTTTTATTTCACCTTTACTTAACCAGGTAAGCCAGTTGAGAACAAGTTCTCATTTACAACTGCGACCTGGCCAAGATAAAGCAAAGCAGTGCGATAAAAACAACAACACAGAGTTACATATGGGGTAAAACAAAACATAAAGTCAAAAATACAGCAGGAAAATATATATACAGTGTGTGCAAATGTAGCAAGTTATGGAGGTAAGGCAATAAATAGGCCATAGTGCAAAATAATAACAATTAGTATTAACACTGGAATGATAGATGTGCAAGAGATGATGTGCAAATAGAGATACTGGGGTGCAAATGAGCAAAATAAATAACAATATGGGGATGAGGTAGTTGGGCGGGCTAATTTCAGATGGGCTGTGTACAGGTGCAGTGATCTGTAAGGTGCTCTGACAACTGATGCTTAAAGTTAGTGAGGGAGATAAGAGTCTCCAGCTTCAGAGATTTTTGCAGTTCGTTCCAGTCATTGGCAGCAGAGAACTGGAAGGAATGGAGGCCAAAGGAGGTGTTGGCTTTGGGGATGACCAGTGAGATATACCTGCTGGAGCGCATAGTACGGTTGGGTGTTGCTATGGTGACCAATGAGCTAAGATAAGGCGGGGATTTGCCTAGCAGTGATTTATAGATGGCCTGGAGCCAGTGGGTTTGGCGATGAATATGTAGTGAGGACCAGCCAACAAGATCATACAGGTCACAGTGGTGGGTAGTATATGGGGTTTTGGTGACAAAACGGATGGCACTGTGATAGACTACATCCAATTTGCTGAGTAGAGTGTTGGAGGCTATTTTGTAAATGACATCGCCGAAGTCAAGGATCGGTAGGATAGTCCTTTTTACGAGGGCATGTTTGGCAGCATGAGTGAAGGAGGCTTTTTTGCGAAATAGGAAGCCGATTCTAGATTCTAGTCTGGAAGGAGAGTTTACAGTCTAACCAGACACCTAGGTATTTGTAGTTGTCCACATACTCTAGGTCAGACCCGTCGAGAGTAGTGATTCTAGTCGGGTGGGCGGGTGCCAGCAGCGTTCGATTGAAGAGCATGCATTTAGTTTTACTAGTGTTTAAGAGCAGTTGGAGGCTACGGAAGGAGTGTTGTATGGCGTTGAAGCTCGTTTGGAGGTTTGTTAACACAGTGTCCAATGAACGGCCAGATGTACAGTGAGGGAAACAAGTATTTGATCCCCTGCTAATTTTAATGGTAGGTTTATTTGAACAGTGAGAGACAGAATAACAACAAAAAAATCCAGAAAGATGCATGTCAAAAATGTTATAAATCGATTTGCATTTTAATGAGGGAAATAAGTATTTGACCTCCTCTCAATCAGAAAGATTTCTGGCTCCCAGGTGTCTTTTATACAGGTAACGAGCTGAGATTAGGAGCACACTCTTAAAGGGAGTGCTCCTAATCTCAGCTTGTTACCTGTATAAAAGACACCTGTCCACAGAAGCAATCAATCAATCAGATTCCAAACTCTCCACCATGGCCAAGACCAAAGAGCTCTCCAAGGATGTCAGGAACAAGATTGTAGACCTACACAAGGCTGGAATGGGCTACAAGAACATCGCCACGCAGCTTGGTGAGAAGGTGACAACAGTTGGTGCGATTATTCGCAAATGGAAGAAACACAAAAGAACTGTCAATCTCCCTCGGCCTGGGGCTCCATGCAAGATCTCACCTCGTGGAGTTGCAATTATCATGAGAACGGTGAGGAATCAGCCCAGAACTACACGGGAGGATCTTGTCAATGATCTCAAGGCAGCTGGGACCATAGTCACCAAGAAAACAATTGGTAACACACTACGCTGTGAAGGACTTAAATCCTGCAGCGCCCGCAAGGTCCCCCTGCTCAAGAAAGCATATATACATGCCTGTCTGAAGTTTGCCAATGAACATCTGAATAATTCAGAGGAGAACTGGGTGAAAGTGTTGTGGTCAGATGAGAACAAAATGGAGCTCTTTGGCATCAACTCAACTCGCCGTGTTTGGAAGAGGAGGAATGCTGCCTATTACCCCAAGAACACCATCCCCACCGTCAAACATGGAGGTGGAAACATTATGCTTTGGGGGTGTTTCTCTGCTAAGGGGACAGGACAACTTCACCGCATCAAAGGGACGATGGACGGGGCCATGTACCGTCAAATCTTGGGTGAGAACCTCCTTCCCTCAGCCAGGGCATTGAAAATGGGTCGTGGATGGGTATTCCAGCATGACAATGACCCAAAACACATGGCCAAGGCAACAAAGGAGTGGCTCAATAAGAAGCACATTAAGGTCCTGGAGTGGCCTAGCCAGTCTCCAGACCTTAATCCCATAGAAAATCTGTGGAGGGAGCTGAAGGTTCGAGTTGCCAAACGTCAGCCTCGAAACCTTAATGACTTGAAGAAGATCTGCAAAGAGGAGTGGGACAAAATCCCTCCTGAGATGTGTGCAAACCTGGTGGCCAACTACAAGAAACGTCTGACCTCTGTGATTGCCAACAAGGGTTTTGCCACCAAGTATTAAGTCATGTTTTGCAGAGGGGTCAAATACTTATTTCCCTCATTAAAATGCAAATCAATTTATTACATTTTTGACATGCGTTTTTCTGGATTTTTTTGTTGTTATTCTGTCTCTCACTGTTCAAATAAACCTACCATTAAAATTATAGACTGATAATTTCTTTGTCAGTGGGCAAACATACAAAATCAGCAGGGGATCAAATACTTTTTTCCCTCACTGTATACAAAATGGTGTCGTCTGCGTAGAGGTGGATCTGAGAGTCACCAGCAGCAAGAGCGACATCATTGATATACACAGAGAAAAGAGTTGGCCCAAGAATTGAACCCTGTGGCACCCCCATAGAGACTGCCATAGGTCCAGACAACAGGCCCTCCGATTTGACATATTGAACTCTATCTGAGAAGTAGTTGGTGAACCAGGCGAGGCAATCATTTGAGAAACCAAGGCTATTTAGTCTGCCAATAAGAATGCGGTGGTTGACAGAGTCGAAAGCCTTGGCCAGGTCGATGAAGACGGCTGCACACTACTGTCTATTAACGATCGCGGTTATAATATTGTTTAGGACCTTGAGCGTGTCTGAGGTGCACCCATGACCAGCTAGGAAACCGGATTGCATAGCAGAGAAGGTACGGTGTGATTCGAAATGGTCGGTGATCTGTTTGTTAACTTGGCTTTCAAAAACTTTCGAAAGGCAGGGCAGGATGGATATAGGTCTGTAACAGTTTGGATCTAGAGTGTCACCCCCTTTGAAGAGGGGGATGACCGCGGCAGCTTTCCAATCTCTGGGGAGAGAGAGGTTGAACAGGCTAGTAATAGGGGTTGCGACAATTTCGGCGGCTATTTTTAGAAAGAAAGGGTCCAGATTGTCTAGCCCAGATGATTTGTAGGGGTCCAGATTTTGCAGCTCTTTCAGAAATTCAGCTGTCTGAATTTGTGTGAAGGAGAAGCGGGGGAGGCATGGGCAAGTTGCAGCGGAGGGTGCAGAGCTGGTGGCCGGGGTAGGGGTAGCCAGGTGGAAAGCATGGCCAGCCGTAGTAAAATGCTTGTTGAAATTCTCGATTATTGTAGATTTATCGGTGGTGATAGTGTTTCCTAGCCTCAGTGCAGTGGGCAGCTGGGAGGAGGTGCTCTTATTCTCCATGGACTTTACAGTGTCCCAAAACATTTTGGAGTTAGTGCTACAGCATGCAAATTTCTGTTTGAAAAAGCTAGCCTTTGTTTTCCTAACTGCTTGTGTATATTGGTTCCTAACTTCCCTGAAAAGTTGCGTATCGCGGGGGCTATTCGATGCTAATGCAGTACGCCACAGGATGTTTTTGTGCTGGTCAAGGGCAGTCAAGTCTGAGGAGAACCAGGGGCTATATCTGTTCTTAGGTCTGAATTTTTTGAATGGGGCATGCTTATTTAAGATTGAGAGGAAAGCACTTTTAAAGAACAACCAGGCATCCTCTACTGACGGAATGAGATCGATATCCATCCAGGATACCTGGGCCAGGTCAATTAGGAAGGCCTGCTCGCTAAAGTGTTTTAGGGAGCGTTTGACAGTGATGAGGGGTGGTCGTTTGACCGCGGATCCATTACGGACGCAGGCAATAAGGCAGTGATCGCTGAGATCCTGGTTGAAGAGAGCGGAGGTGTATTTAGAGAGTAAGTTAGTCAGGATGATATCTATGAGGGTGCCCATGTTTACGGATTTAGGGTTGTACCTGGTAGGTTCCTTGACAATTTGTGTGAGATTGAGGGCATCTAGTTTGGATTGTAGGATGGCCGGGGTGTTAAGCATATCCCAGTTTAGGTCACCAAGCAGTACGAACTCTGAGGATAGATGGGGGGCAATCAATTCACATATGGTGTCCAGGGCACAGCTGGGGGCTGAGGGGGGTCTGTAGCAAGCGGCAACAGTGAGAGACTTATTTCTGGAAAGGTGGATTTTTAGAAGTAGGAGCTCAAACTGTTTGGGCACAGACCTGGATAGTCTGATAGAGCTCTGCAGGCTATCTCTACAGTAGATTGCAACTCCACCCCCTTTGGCAGTTCTATCTAGACGGAAAATGTTGTAGTTGGGGATGGAAATTTCTGAATTTTTGGTGGCCTTCCTAAGCCAGGATTCAGACACTGCTAGAACATCAGGGTTGGCGGAGTGTGCTATGAGCCACGGAGTGTGCTATTGGCCACAACCAATACAACATAATAATGTCGTTTTATATCGAGAGATAGTCCTGTAAAATAACTTCCCTGTTTACTTACTGCTATTTGTCTCCATCTGCTGTTGAAGAAGGTCACATATGGACTATTTCTTAGTGACAGCCCACTTAAGTGACATGCTCAGGCTTTCACGCCCCAGTCTGGCTGTAATGTGAGCGCCTGAGAGGCAATACGGATTTTGCAAAAACTGTCAGCCACGTCACCGCCAGAGGTCTGACCAACTTTTCCAGCCCTTTGCGGACAGTGGTGCAGACGAATCCCTATGCAGAATATCTAGAATGAACATTTATGAGCATTTGCAGTGATTTCCAAAGAACAAGAGGACATAACATTTGGGAACATTGAAGTTATTTGGACTTTTTTGTTGTTGTTGAGGAGTTTCATTTTACATACGTTATTGTTTTGACTTCGCCTGAAGACTACTTGGAGGCCTCATTCTTACAGATTTTTACCGATATTTCGGCTCTTTCTTTTTGGAATACCAAAACAACACTATGAATATCTTCCGTCTAGCCGGTGACGTGTCCCATCTAGTTGCTATCATCATTCTAGTTATGAAGATATGGAGGTCCAAATCCTGTGCTGGTATGTTGACAGTGGTACTGTTTGATTTATTAACTGTTAATGATTTATTGACTTGCTCATGCATATGCCTAATATCGGTTTAACAAACTTGGGGACACATTGCCTGACGACACACTGAATTTTTCTGCTGCTCTATGTTCGCTACATAGGCCTACTTCATTGCGGAAAAGAAACTAACGTCCGTGGTAGCCAGGCAAGGTGACACAGTGAATAAGAAATGCATCTGTCCATCTCAGTTGTGAAGTTGACCTCACACTCCTAGTACTGGTCTGCAACGCTCACAGCAGTGCATTTGTTACTTTGTTGCAACAATGTAACAACGCGCCTCGATTATAATTGGTTACAATACATTGCAATATTTTGTGGTTAGAGAGTAAATCATTTTGACTTGTCCACTTCGACCCACAAGAATGTTACGTGGCATATTGTTCAGTCTAGCCTAATTTGCTTTGGGAGTCGCACCGTGGCCTGTTTTCTACCTCAGCTAACCGCATTGATCATGTTTTGCCATCCCCAGGTCATGAAATGAAATTGTTGTGTATATGTGTACATAAGCGAGATTAATGACTGTTGTGTGTTTCTGCAGGTATTTCTGGGAGGTCTCAGGTGCTTTTTGCATTAGTCTTCACTACAAGATACCTGGACCTGTTCACTAGCTTCATCTCCATTTACAACACAGTTATGAAGGTGAGGTAGCAGATAGTATCCTACAAAGAAGCCAATCAATCAATGATTTGTGTTCTAACCTAAACTCCTTCCCACTTTCTTGTGTGCTCAGGTGGTGTTCCTGGCTTTGGCATATGCCACTGTGTACCTGATCTACATGCGCTTCAGGAGCACCTACGACTCAGAGAGTGACTCATTCCGTGTTGAGTTCCTGCTTGTGCCTGTGGCTGGGCTTTCCTTCCTGGAAAACTATGCATTTGCCCCACTGGAGGTAAATGTTCCAGGTTCAATACATACTGTAGATATTGAACATACAGGTAACTGCCAAAATAAAGGAAACACCAACATAAAGTGTCTCAATAGGGCGTTGGGCCACCACAAGCCGCCAGAACTGCTTAAATGCGCCTTGGCATAGATTCTACAAGTGTCTGGAACTCTATTGGAGGGATGCGACGCCATTCTTCCACAAGGAATTCTGTCATTTGTGTTCTGTTGATGGTGGTGGAAAATGCATCTCAGGCGCCGCTCCAGAATCTCCCATAAGTGTTCAATTGGGTTGCGATCTGGTGACTGAGACACACACACACACACACACACACACCCTTTAAACCCCCTTTGTGATCCTTCTTTTCAAGTCATTGAGAGGTCTTCTAGCCATGGTAGCCAAAATAATGGACAACTGGGCATTTTTATACATGACCCTAAGAATGATGGGATGGTTTAATAGCACCAGCTTTCAATATACTTTGTATCCCTCATTTACTCAAGCATTTCCTTTATTTTGTTTGTTACCTATAGATTATAATGAGCGATTCTATCACATCATGGTATAGATAGACAATGTAAGTGAGGGGCAACTAAAACCCCAAATATTTGCTTTTGGGGAATATTGGCCTAGAAGTCTCAACTTGACTGGTAGAGGGTCCCTTGATGTGTTTGTGCATGTGCATGTCAGACCTCATACTTGATTGAATGCATATCTTTGGTGCACAGATCCTGTGGACCTTCTCCATCTACTTGGAGTCAGTGGCCATCTTGCCCCAGCTCTTCATGATCACCAAGACCGGCGAAGCAGAGTCCATCACCACCCACTACCTGTTCTTCCTGGGTCTCTACCGAGCCCTGTACCTGGCCAACTGGGTGTGGCGCTACCACACAGAGGGCTTCTTTGACCAGATTGCTGTGGTGTCCGGTGTGGTGCAGACTATCTTCTACTGTGACTTCTTCTACCTTTACGTTACCAGGGGTAAGTATGAGCCAGGGAGTGATTTTGACTTTGTCTTATATTTCTAGTACATATTTCATCCCCTTTACCTTTCCCTCTTTCCCTTTGTCCCTCTCCAGTGCTCAGAGGAAGTGGAAAGATGTCCCTGCCCATGCCCGTCTAAAGAGAGTCAGTGCTGTTTTAAACAACACTTGAGCAGTTCAGTAACTGAAAGCACCTCTGCCCTCCAATTATACTTCGTAATGGACTAGTCAGCAGTGTCACAGTACCCCCTGTATACCTTGGGGGGGTATATACCCAGAGGGCAACCGTCGTGTTGTTGGTACCTGGTTGTTTGTTGTTTAGCCTTAGTGAATGTGTGCTTTTCCCTAAAATGACCAAATAACTTTGTCCTATGTTTTTGTGCATGTGTGTGTGGAACTGAATGTTAATGGGAATTGAGTAAATTGAATACTGTGGGAATTTTATTTTATTATACTTGCCTTATTTTCTTTCATAGAAGCAGATATTGTCCCGCTTGAAGTAGTCCAATGCAGTTTGTGCCTTCATTTTCCTTTTCTAGTAAATGGCATATTTTGAATGTCTTATTACATCAAATATTGTCAAAACATTGTATATCTGTGAGATATTTGTTCTGCTTTCCTGTCATTTCACAATTTCTACATATAACAGTGACCAACCTTCAAGGCTTACATTGTTTCACCTAGCAGTGTATTGGGAGTCTTGTATTTAGGCTGCTATGGGTGACATGTGGCATCCTTGTCAAGAGTTATGCTATGTTCTTCCCTTTATGAAAATAAGTCCATGGAGATGCCATACAGAACGCACTGTCATGTATGTAACTCTTATGTCTGTCCACTTCTTGACTGAACCAAGGTTCTTCTGAAATACTTTGTATTCTGTACTTTGATTTTACCAGTATTTTCCATTCCTTTAATATTCATGCATTTTATTAAGCAAAACGAATACACATTTTTGTGATGTCACAATTCATACCAAATATATTTTGTATTTGATGAGACATCAACAGTTATTTCACACTAACTAGAGTTAATTCATATCTCAACATTTATTGAGTAAATTTTTGGACCAGGATTACATTGGCAAAAGCAGATTAATGCTTCAACAAAATGGAAAGGTACTTACACTAAGTATCTTCATACTATGAACTAGATTTGTATATGTGTGCCAAACCTTTACAACTCTGGTGCCCATGTTGTAATTATCAACATTTTAATACCAAGAACCTTCATCATTTGTAAATCAGGTCAATAAAAGGCATCTTTACTGGTTCATCAGGTTCTTCGTGTTGATTACTTAAAATTTCGTTTCATCACACCAGGATGTTTACTCCTTCTGCATACTCACACTAGCGATCCACACCATTCAAAACCACACACACAAGTGATTCACACCACTCAAACCACACACAAGTGATTCACAACATTAAAAAAATTCACAGCACTCTTTACTTTTCGATTGAGTATTCAATAATGGATGCCTGTTTACTCTCGTGGCACTATGACAACCTGGACAAATAGCATCACTTCCTCAAATGTCAGGGCTGGGTCTTCTATTAAGGATGATGGTTCAGTTCCATTACAGTGGTATTACACTGCATTTGCATTCTATCAACTCTTATTAACTTTCTGTTCATTTACCTCCATGTGTTAGTGCATTAATAGCTTAATCAACTATGACTGACAATGGAAGAAAGTGCATCTGCGCTCTTTAGCAAGCCTGCCTTATGAAGTCATTGTGATGATTTTTCAAAGAACACAGTTGAATGATAAATAAGTGTGTAAAACTAATTTGCACTTCAGAGACAGAAAAAAGATACTTTGATTATTTAAGACCCTCATCTTCTACCTGATAATCCAGCACCATACAGTGAATAATAGTGGATATTAAAAGTTCCGTCAGTGTAGGAGGGTTTTGCGGTGTTTGTAAAGCACTTTACTTCCCTCTCTCACAGCTCCTCCCACCACTTTGGCAGCTGATGTGATTGACAGCGGTGTGGTAGCCAAAGCTGCTGCCCTCTCTATCGCCTTAACCTTTTTCACTGCTTTCCCTTTCCCTTTGCTTGTTACTCCAGCCCCCTCTGCCGCCCCCTTCCCCAGAGCAGACACCAGCTCACACCAGAACAACTTCTCTGCCTTCTTTCTGGCTGCCTCTTCCTCTCTTCTCCTCTCCTCCTCTTCCCTCCTTCTCATTCGCTCTGCCTCCGGTCCCTGCGGCTCTGGCCTTGTCTTCACCCCATCCTCCTCCTGCGTCAATGGAGCCATCCTTCTTTCTCCCAGAATGCCCTCCTGCACTTCTCTGATGGCTCTCTCTGCTTCCTGGTACATCTCGTTGGTGTAGCAGCCCCCTCCGTTCTCTGTCACCATCTTATCTATCTTCTCCAGGAGCTCTGTGACCTGAGTGCAGTCTGTTATCTTGTTGCTATTGTTAAAGACATGATAGCCCCCCTGACATCTACTCACAAACTCCTGGAGCTCCTGGCTCTCCTTCAGGAAGTCTTCCATGCTTTTCCCCTGAAGCTGGTCACCCCAGGTGAACAGTACTACTGTGTATCTGAGGGCTCCTGGTCCGAAGGTGGCCTTGACCCACTCCAGGGCATCCCGCTCCTCCTGAGTGAACCTGCCAGGCTGAAGGGTCACCAGGAAGGAGTGGGGGCCAGGGGCAGACAGCACCACACAGCGGCCTGCCTCAGCTGTCACCTCCTGAGGGGAGAGGCGTGTGTCGAAGAACCCTGGGGTGTCGACCACAGTGAGGTTCCTCCCAGCCACAGCTCCACTCTGTCTGTCACACTGACCAGTTATGGAACATGAAGAGATGTCCACCCGAAATGCCTGCCTCCCTAGGATGGTGTTCCCAGAGGAGCTTCTCCCTGCACCTGTCTTCCCCACCAGTACCATCCTCAGCTCCCCACTGTCCAGCTCCGGTGATGCTTCACGTGCTGTGACACAAATTACAGTAATTTATACTGACCTAACCAATCTAAATGTGTAACCTACCTTGAAATTACTGTCTGACATAGGCCTACTGTGTTCCTATTATCACCCATATAATATGTAGGCCTATTATATTTATAATGGTTGGGGGCTGGAAAATATAGTTTAGCCTACATTACAGATTTCTGAGTGCTGCTGTTCATTTTCGGTGGCTGCTGTAAAAAATGCTATACAAATGCCATCTTTTTTGATGGAATGGAAAATCTACCCGCTAGCATCAACGACAGTAGGCTATTATTGTTTCAATAGTCTCTCACCCAGACTCGAGGCAGCACATTCCAGTGACGCCATCTCCACTGTCCCACATGAGTTAGCCATGGCGAACACGGCTGCAACTATGGATTATCCGTGGAATACCTAATATGCACTGAAATAATTGGGTCCTGTCTTCGGCTGCGTTACTTGCGTATATTACCAGCGCTTCGTCATTCTTATGATAGTCTTTTTTATTGAGAAATTAAATATATTTGTATCCATGTCCTTTTTCTTTTCAACCCGTTTACATGCGGCACCTGCGATGCGATGCTGCAGAGTCAGACCATGATGTCATTGTGATAATGCGCACACGCGACCAGACAGTCTGCCGTGAATGACTGGCGCTGTAAGCCTACCTGTGATCAGTTATTCAAGCCTATACTGTCAACTTGCCATTCATGCTTACGTTTTGTTATTCGCATATAGGGAGAATTCGGAAAAAAAGGGTGGGACGTCATATAAACTGGGACAGCTTTGTCCTGATGTGTTTATTTCTAAATCAAAACTATTGATACTAAGCACTTGCAGAGAAACCAAATTATCAAAATCACATCACTTAATTGGTGTGACGTCACAGAGGGCGGCAGAGCAAGCTTTAAACAGGAAGCTCACCCTGCAAAGCACACATAAGATCAGTGACATATATTTTTTTCTGTTTTGATGTTAAGATTGTCATAAATAATGCACTGTGCCAAATAGTACTGCGCGGGTTGACTCCAGTGGAGGCTGCTGAGGGGAGGACGGCTCATAATAATGGCTGGAATGGAGCAAATAGAATGGCATCAAACACATAGAAACCATGTGTTATTCCACTCTAGCCATTACCACGAGCCCGCCCTCGCCAATTAAGGTGCCACCAACCTCCTGTGGTTTACTCATAACCCGCAGTCCCCAAGGTTATATCCGTAGGTGGGTTTAGGCTCATTAAATATTGTGTGGATGAAGGGCGGGTGGGTGGCGGGCGGTTTGAATAAAGAGAAAATATCTTTAAAAATCCATAAATGTATCATTATTTTGCTATCTATAGGCTACATTGAGGTTAGTGCGTAACCCTAAACTTTAGGGCCTAACAGTACACGCATCAAATAGCCTACACGCCAATTGCCAAATGCTTTTGGGAACAGGCAGAAAATGTTAAAGTAGATCCATGGAGGCAAAAAGGACAATGTCAGAGTTTAATTCAATAAAAGAAAAGCTGTGAAATGGAGAGTTGAAAATAAAGAGAAGGCAGGGACAGAAAAGTAACCTTTTGGAAAGATTTGGTGAAGTGGTAAAAGAGGATGATAGCAGTGCCAGCTATGTTATGTGTGATGATTATGAGGCACTATACAATTGAGACAGTCACAAGATGGGGACTTCAAATAGGCCTATGGCACTTCAGGGGAACTGTAGCCTACCTCAGAACAGCCTCAATTAATCGGGGCATGGACTCTACAAGGTGTTGAAAGCAATCCACAAGGATGCTGGCCCATGTTGACTCCAATGCTTCCCACAGTTGTGTTAAGTTGGCTGGATGTCCTTTGGGTGGTGGACCATTCTTGATACACATGGGAAACTGCTGAGCGTTAAAAACCAGCAGGGTTGCGGTTCTTGACACAAACCGGTGCACTTGGCACCTACTACCATACCTAGTTCAAAGGCTCTTACATTTTTTTGTCTTGCCTATTCCCCTCTGAATGGCACACATACACAATTCATGTCTCAAGGCTTAAAAATCCTTCTTTAACCTGCCTCCTCCCCTTCATCTACACTGATTGAAGTGGATTTAACAAGTTACCTCAATAAGGGATCATAGCTTTCACTTGGTCAGTATGTCATGGAAAGCGCAGGTGTTCTTAATGTTTTGTGTAATCAGTGTATAGTCCGGCGGTTGTGGAGGGGTTTATATTAGCAA